TATCGGAACGTTAAGTTGTTGTTCTAATTCGTTTCACAGAGATCTAATGAATACCAGTTCTTGAAATAATTTCAGACAATTTGTTGGGAACTCACAGTGTCAGTTGAAAAATTATTAGCACCGATTCTAGCAAAAATTTTTTGAAATGCCTAGTGTCAGTCGAAAAATTATTAGCACCGATTCTAGCAGAAAATCTTTTGAAATGCCTAGTGTCAGTCGAAAACTTATTAGCACCGATTCTAGCAGAAAATTTTTGAGGAATGCCTAGTGTCGGTCGAAAAGTTATTAACACCGATTCTAGCCTACCAGCAACCGAATTTTAAGTTTTAACGTTAACTATAGTGATCCCAAGAGGTCTAAATGAATCTTTAAGTAGACGTTGAATTATTAATCTAGATCGTGAGACGCTCCTCTTACGAGTAACACGTATAACACAGTGGAAAAATCGCAGAGATCCTCCTATAATACATCCTCATATCCTAGTAGCACGGAATCAATGAACAGTGTTCTAAAAGGTTTGGGCGTATCGATATTTCATCAGCCCTGTAACTACCTTAATCTAAACTCAAGATAGTAACGGATACGCTGTAACACCGATCAACGAACACCAAACGATGCTAAACACCAACGAACTAAGGCCAACGAAAATCAAATTACAGACATACGCGATAGGAAGATCACAGGATTGCTCTGGTAACTGATAATCACGCGACACAGGGAGACTTTAGATCTAATAGTCGAAGAAACACGTCCCGTGTCCGAGCAAAAGATCACCAAAGAATTAACAGCTCAATACAGCTAGATAGAGTAACTTTAAGGCGATGTAAGTAAGATCAAAGAATCAAGCCCACCGGCAAAGGACCTGGATAATCATTATGATCGGAGGCAATCTTGCAGAAAATGACCATCGTAACCGGTAATGAGCCGCTTCCTACGGTCATGGTAGCCAAGTTAGACAAGCAAGCTGTTACCGATCCTGACAAACGTTATCGCGTTATGACTGGAGAGGTTGGAGCGAGATTGACCGAAGAATTTCGCGGGAGGTAGACACGTCTAGGCGTCAGGATGACGGAGATGCGACACGAAAGACGCGATTTTTCTGGGAAAACGTTTGCGTAACCGAGCCACAGACGCACACGACATAATCTATGGACGTTACAGGCTCTTACGTATCCAACGGGGCGGGAAACAAAAATGTCGACGAAAACGACTCGATCGACTCGAGTAAATCCACCCTGTCTGGGAGACTGTCACGAAGGGATGAACACGAGGAACGAAGAAGAAGTTTCGACGCAACCCGTCGCTGGAAACGAACGCTGAATTATTCATGGGGAATCTGTTGCTTTTATTCGACCCTGCCGCACCCTTCGCCCCCGTCGTTTGTACTTTGAATTTATTTAGGGAAAAACCCGTGGAAACCGCTCCATTCGATGAAGATTGCGCGTGCAACGTTGATTAGGGGATACTGCGGGTACATAGTGACACTCGTGGGTATCATCGTGGATGGTTAATCGAAAAATTCGATACATCCCCAGGGTTCTCGAGAAGACAAAGTACTCGTGAAATTACGTAGCTCGAGTTACCGTAGTTCTTGAAAAATCTGGTCGAAAATTATATTTTACCAAACGAATTATGGAAAGTATGGAAAGCCAAATCATAATTATATTCTATGGACTAAATAATAGAAAATCAGAAGATTCTCTAAAAGATCTCAGAAATTATATTTTTCAAAAAGCAACTGATCTCACTGACGATCTCACTCTTATAAATTCTGATTACATCTATTATAGAGTACTATTTTGGGATTCCTCATTTGAGAGAAAACAAATTATAAACCGATCGATTACCTGTGCGTGACATTTTCTATTGTAGAAGCAAATAGAAAAAGATACCGTTATGAAAAGCTATTTTTGGTAACAAAGCTAAGTTGCGTGGTCTCCACGGGCAGGTGAAACGCGGGTGGACAAAATCGTAATCATCGCAGGGAGCGAATCGCGAATCCGGAAAATGACCTGCTTTTTATGGGAGCAAATCGCTAATGGGCTGAATCATATTAACCAATTAGCGATTGGAAAAAGCACGCCATCGAGCTTTGCGAAAAGCATAAAAACAGGACCCTTGAGGACGCAGGAAGAGTCCTGAGCAAAGAAGCGTTGAAGAGTCCTCGTAGAAATAGATCGTGACCAGCACGGGTGTGAGTCGTTCGGTGTTGAAGAGAGTCGAATTAGAGCGTGTTTCCGTGTGTTATAGTTGCGTTATTTTAGTGTTCTTTTCTTGCGTTAAATTAGTTTTCCGAGTTTAGTGTTCGTATTATTCTGTTCATATCGTTCTGTCCGTTTTCGGTGTCACGAAACGATATTCCTTCGATTAAGCGAGGAACATATAAATATTTAATTCCTGTACGCTGAAGACAATAAAACCCGTTTTCGGTATCCTACACTGTAGAATCCTGCGCAAGGATATCAATTAACGAGTAAATAGAAAAATACTCGATCCAATTTGGACAATAAGATCATTTGCGAATTACATATTAGGTATCGATTATTGCAATCGTTCGAGGCAAGAATTCTTGCAGTCCACTCGACGTACCAGGAGATTTAGCATGAACGAAACGCGATCCTCCGGGGTATAACCAGCGTGTATGGGAGAGAGAATGGGGTTTTAATCAGGACGATATGCACGACGGTTCACGAAAGAGAAGCTAAAATTTCCGACGTTATTAATTCTTCGAGAAGGATCGAGCCATTTGGTGATTGACGTCGCGTGACGATCGACCACGCCGTCGCTTATGTAATTTCGCGGCAAATCCTCCAGGGCTGCGAGCAGGATAATAGGTACCCGGAAGCCAAGGACAAGATCGGGTAGAATAGAATTCCACCATAGAAAAATTCCTCATCCGTCTTACGAGGGTAGTATAAATACAAGTAAAATAAATATGCGAATTTTTCTTGCTTAAGAACAAAGCGTTTCAGCGATACTTAATTATCACGTTTCAAATAAATTTCTAGTCGTTGCTTCGTGGAATTAATCCAGGATTAACTGTATTAATTCAGCAATTCATCCATCGCGTAATTTTATCTGCAGGAAACTGGAAGTCATCCATGGCCGCGAGGCTCGTATTAAATTTGATAAATAAGTAAATAAATGGATAGCAAATTTGCTAGAGTATGAAGTCCTGATAAATTCCAATTTGAGAATTATCAGTTATAGTATTTTAAGTATCTTAATTATTAGTGTTTAACGTTAATATTGAACTGTTGGTATTCAAAATATTACTATTCTAATTTTCCATTAATACCCTAACTTCCAGTATCTTCGATACCAGTACCTCCCAATCTACGATACTGCAATTAAGTACTTTAACTACCAATAATCGTATTCTTTATCTCTTTTCCACCATGCCACCAATACTTCACGTATAAATAGATATAGGTATCTAGTTTGACTGAAAGCCACAGAAAAATTATAAAAATTGCACAAACGAGTACTCTAATCGAATACTTCAGCAATAATACACTTCTCGTCGCTATCCTATCATCGACATACTTTATACCCATAAACACACGCATCTATATACACATCAGGTCTCATCTCCACTCGCTGAAATGCATAAAAAGTCCTTATTACGTATCCTTTCACTCTAATGGCGAGTAGTCTAATCGAATACCCCACCTAGCAATGATACCCTCCTCGTTACTTCCCTATCACCGGTACTCCGACCATAAACATCCGCCATACTGCGCACACACACAGTCACACTCACGTTGATGCTCATCATTGGCTGCTGGAAGCCATAGAGAAATTAGTAGTAGATACCTGTTCGGTCGTAAGGAGCGGCTCTTCTCGGCGCGGTCTGTCCCCTAACAGGGTGAAACTGCTGCTGTTGGTGTAAGGGTGGCGTCTGGGCGGGTTGCAGCTGCAGATGATACTGCTGAGAGGTTGAATAGTGGGCGGATGCGTTCGCGGTGGACGCCGTCAGTGATTGCTGCTGATACTGACCTGCCTGATACTGATTCAGATGATTCGGGTGGTGGAAGTGGGGATGGGAGTGAGTGTGCGGCTGGCCCGTAGCTGGCCCGTGGGGGTGCGAGTGCGAGTGAGGGTGCGAGTACGGGCCACACCAGGTGTAATATTGCTGCCATGAGGCAGCCGCATCTACGTTCGCCATGCCATCTCCTTCTTCGCTCCCCATTCGGACCTCTGCCGACGCAATCTTCCCGATGCCAGTTTAACACCCTCCAATCGCCAATTTCTCTTCCACTCACACGAGATTTCTCACACGGGATCAACCTTTCTCTTCTCTACCCTTCTCTCTATCTTCTACTCCTAAATATCTCAGAATTTTTCCAATGTTCTAATTATCTTTGTCCATTCTTCATTTATTTCCATTCGCAGAGCGTTGATCTTCGGTGAGATTAGGTCCCGAGGGAGTCAGTTTTTCCGTTTCAAGACGACACTTCAAGGAACACTTTCGATGTTTTACATGTTGCAAGGTTAGCTCCAGGAACGATTCGGTCATTCGATGTGTTAGTTTGATATTTTATGACAGTTCGCGCGTTTTCACGATAAGATTGCCTGCAATACCGTTGGATTTTCGAGGTTCACGCGGAGCTGTTCGAGTTCGTACGGTTGGGGAGAAGACTCGGAATCTGTAAGCAGGTAACGAGAATCGAAAATCAAGTCTGAACGGAACACACTGTTCGATTACGTGGATATTATGTCGATTTTAATCGAAGGAACGACGCACGAGACGCATTGTCGAGAAACGAGCACGGCATGCGAGTCGCCAAGGACCCGCACACGCGAGCTAAGCCTTCGGGAAAGGATCGAGAAACAATACCTCTAGCCAATGTTAATACATCGTGATATCCCCTGCCCACGCCGGTTTCACCAGACTATAAATTTTTCATGCCGACCGGGCGTCCTGATCTCATCAAAATTCAACGCAAATGTCGTTAAACATTCGACCAGCACGCGAAAGGAAAAATTAATTCCCCACTCGGATTATTTTAATAAATTATATTCGACCCAGAAGAAGAATGTTCTACATCGATATTCACGAAAATTTGGAAATCCGTGCGAAATCTCGACTATCGCAGGCGATACTCTCAAAAGTTCCACTTTTCCAGAAAATTCAGCGACTTTGCAAATTTTCTTTCAGGTTTAGAATCTCCTCGAGAAATTCGAAGCTTTGTCAGCGACACTTGGATTTTCCCACGAGAGATCTCACGACTCTCGAAATTCTCGTGCCTCCAAATTTCGCCACTGGTACTCGGATATTCCCAAGTTTCACGATCCTGAAAGTCCCCGAATCTTAAAATTTGATCACAGAATTTCACGGAGTGCCACTAGAACTTGTCCATTAAAATTCCTCTAAATTTCCTCTAAATTCCCGAGGTTTTGAATTCGGCCACCAAAATTTCGAATATCGCCACTGAAACGTTGGAAAAATTTCCTTTTCCCGAAACCTTGTAATCGCCGGGTCCGCGAATTCGATTGCCACCACTGCTCTATCCAAAGATTTCTCTTGCACAAAATTATCACGATTCGAGCTTCCGGTCGGCGAGATCCATATTTCGGATTTGAGGAGACTCGCGATCCCCTTTCGCGAGGAATCAATCCAGAAACGGGAGCCCCTGAAATCCAGCACCGTTCACGACTCCATTTCCCACCCTGGCCACAGCCGTTGAGCACAGTGCCCCGCGGAAAGAGGCAAAGGACGGTGGCAGTTCGAGGGATGAAACGGAAGTCCGTGGCGAGAACGAAACCAGTCGAATCTAAGAAACCAAATCGGCTCTTGCTTGCCGCGTCACACGGACACACGTTCACCCATATATACACTCGTATATACACCCATGTATACACCCATATATACAGGCCGCGTATGTGTGGTCGTATAAATTTATACGGCTACACGCATACATACGCGTGTCGTGCTACACGCTATATGTACGACCGTATATCCGTCTAGCCGCGACCACCGATATACATATACATATGTATATAAATCTACAAATATACGTATATATAATCTATATATCCGGTTCCCTCTCTCGCGGTTCCTTATGCAACGTCGAACGGAAAAAAGCGGAACGAAAAACCGATACGAGGTAAGGAAACGAAAAATGAAAGGTGGAAAATAAAATTGGCAGAAAGGGTTGACGTTTAAGTTTCACCAAAGTTGTCGCGAATAATCGGCGAGTATGGACGCGCGCGTAGAGCCCGAAGAGGCTCGAGGATGACTGAGAGGAACAGGTTCCTCTCCTCCGCCTCGAGCAAAAGAGGGTTGAAAGCACGAGGCCCGACGAGTGAGCGGAGCTCGACGCCAGGGGGATGTGCTCGGGTCCACGTGCATCAGGAGGCACGTTCCTCGGTCACGTGTACGCTTACGCACTACCCCGCTCGCTGGTCTCCACTGCGGACCTGTGTTCCACTTATTATATCAGCCACCGTATGCAATTCGAACGAACCGAACCGAACCGAACCGAACCGGACCGAATCCAAGCCGAATTCTACCGAGCTCGGTGAGAGTTTCAACGTATTCCGCGTGGCGGTATTTCCACTTATTATATCAGCCACCGTATGCAATTCGAACGAACCGAACCGAACCGAACCGAACCGAATCCAAGCCGAATTCTACCGAGCTCGGTGAGAGTTTCAACGTATTCCGCGTGGCGGTGATCGCGACACTGGACGCAGGAGGAGCGAGCAGTCGAGATCGGGATCGGTACCATCTCCGAGTCGATACTTTTCACGCTTGTTAACGATGCGAGTCGTCGCAGTTTCCGGGGATTTAATTAGCGGAGAGGTCAAGCGGAGGGGTGGCGCGGGCAGGTTTCAGGGATGAATAATGCAGGTCGGGAGTAATCATGGACTAATTGATACTACAGGTGGAGGAGGTGGCGCAGGCTCCATTGGGACCAGGAGTCGATCGGCTTCGAGGAGACGATTAACCTCTCGAGCTGTTTTCTTCGTTATTAAAAGTCTGCTCCGCGCTGGCACCGATTTCATAAAGTGGAGGTATCGAATCTGTCACGCGATGTGTACTGCGTGATCCGGAGAAGAAGGCACGGCGCGTTTGCGTCCTCACGGCTGTTTAACTCCGCCAACACTCCCTTGATCACAGATAGTGACCGCTATTCGCGAAAATCATCGATCACCGTCTTCGGCCAATAGCGATCACGGCCTATGACCATGGGAGTGTCAGAAGAGATAGTCACTCGTTAGGATGTAAACACGCTATGCCTTCTTCTCTCGAACGCACGGTACACAAACGATTCTCCGTTCCCTGAGAAGATGGAACGAGGTGGACGAAGGTGAATGATTACTTAGGGGTCAGCGAGGAGTAGTTGACTGGATGGTATTTCGAGGGATCCAGAAATCGGATGATCCTAGTTCTAGGGTAAGTTTGGATCAGGTTTAGTTCCAGGTAGTTCCATTTAGGAACCAGATATAGGATCGGATATCAAAAGCTATTTGCAGATTTAATCGAAATTTTATTTGATAGCCTATCTCAAAGTTAGAGATATTCTTTGAGATTCTATCTACTGTCTGACTTCATTTTCACATTTTTCTAATCGATAATGCGATATCTACGTTGATATATTTTTGTTAGAATTAAATTATGAGAGAAAAGAGTATGTTTCCTATATCGAAACTGAAATGGATAGGGAGCAAAGAGTTGACTGCGAAGGAGTTGGATGCTGATTACGATAAATGTGCATGGTCCTGACAATTAATGTCATTTGCATTAGGTTTGGAGTCAATTTGAAGTTCATCTATGTTCAAGGTATCGAATAGACAATAGATGTGTAGGTTTGCAAGGTTTATCTTGCGTTTAAAAGGATTAGCATTAATTGATCAACAAAGACTGTGTCGATAAACTCATCCTGGGAATTGGACAAAATCCTGAACATACCTAAAACTTGTAGAATTTGCTGTTCTTAATAATCACCCCAATAAATAGCATCTCTCTTAAAAATAATTCATTCCTTAACTGACATCCATTCATCAACCCAATATTTTAAGTACGACTTACATTTCTTCAAGTATCTTCCACTCTTCAAGGTTCATTAAACTCGTATTAACTCTCAGGTAAATCATATTTCCCGAAATTAACATCGATCAAACCGAAGATAATCCTTCCCTATAAATCCTTAATTCATCCATCTTCCACTATCTACCTTGCTAATCTTATATCGATTAATATATTAATCGTGTTCGTCATAATTAACATCGACTCGATCTTTTCCCACGAATCTTTTACCTTTCGCAAATCATTTCTCGTACAGTAAGTACCTATTTCAAGAGAGCAACAAATTCCCGAGCGTACATCATTTGCATAAACGCCAATTTACTTAAATTATTATTTATTACAATTTATTTAAAATTCATCTTCAGGGAAAAATTTCTCGAGTGTATTTCGAGGAGTTTCGTAGGGGGTTGATTCATCGCATCCAAGAGAGCGTCCAAGCCCAAGAAAGATGAAGAAAGAGTAGCTCGGTGAAGGGATCAAAGGTAAAACACGTGAGCCGAAATGTAAAGGAGAAATTTTGAAATATGCCCCGTACGTGTTTTCGAGTTTAGAAATTTTGTAAAACGAATGAGCCTCGTCCGAAGGTTTCTCACGCAGTTTCGCACGGTTCATGCAAATTATCGTGCCACGTATCAATTTAGTGCGTCATAGAGGCAATTATGCGTAGGCCGCAAGTCAGTGGTGTTGATCGTAATCTCTTTTCATTATACCGGATTGTTTATTCTTCGTAAATATCACTGAAACGCGGCGCGTTTTGTTATTTACTTTCGATTCGCTTACATAGAAACGGCATACCGACGCGTGCATCCGTGCTCCATCTCCTTTCTCTTTTTGCAAAACCATAAATCACGGATGTGAAAAAAAAAAATGTGTTTCAGCAACCAACCGTTGCACAAGAACAACGCCGAGTCAAACCAAAACGCTGAATTAGTTTGTTAATACCCGGAGCAGAAATATCCTTTCCCTATCTGGTTATTTTTCTCGCCTCTCGGCTAGGGATTTTAGGAACCTTTTAGCCAGAATTTTTAGGGAAAATGTTACGATGTTCCTATTCTTCTAATTGTTCTTGCATTCCCTTTTGTTTCTGTTTCAGCTACCGAGATTTTCTACCTTTCAGCCGGAAACTTAAAAAATTTGTCGACAGAAAAATCGCAATGTCCTTTCTTCCTAATTATTTTTACATTCCCTCTTCTCTTTAACTAAAAGGGTAAGAGAAAGCTTTGCGCCCTCCTGTTCTTGA